ATTTTCTTCCACTATTTGATCTGAGGAAGTGGGTCTGGCCCACGAAAGCTCATCATCTAATAAACCATCTTGTTAGTCTTTAAAGTGCTACATAGTCCTGTATTTTGCTTTAGTTGGAGCCAGACACTCCGAGTTGATGAGCACATGGAATATCCACTCTGAAGAGCCAGCCTAAGCATCTGTCATCTCGCTGTTTTCCCTTATCCTCCCCCCCCTCTCCTCCCACAGGCCAGAGACTGTAAAGTTTTGGGCGACACCTCTGGAGCAGGAAGCTATGGCAAGACGGCCAGGAAGCTGAACATCGCGGCACTCGTACTGGGCCTCTTGGCATTGATTCTGTTCATTGTCATCGGGCTAGTCTTCCTGTTCCAAGACATGTTACAGCCGTAGTTCTACGACATCCACCGAACCACCCTCAAGATTCTCCCCAGCTGGATGACTCACCAAGTTGCATGTTCCCTTGCTCTGCTTGCCTCTGTCCTGCTGTGTATATTAAGGGCTGGGGGGGCTCAGTTACTGAATAGATGAAGGGGCAGAGCTCTCCTGATGTTTCAATTGTTCTGTGTCTGGATCCCAGCAGTTCTGTCTGTGCTGTGGAGAGCTACATTCCTCCGCCCGGCTGATCCCCTTCCCAAGTGCCACCATCCAAGTCCTCCATTAACAGGATGGAGGGGGTTGCTGTAGAGGTGGAGGGGCCTTGCATCACTCTGGCTTCCAAAGCCCTCCCAGACCCTGTTGCTGTTGGGAATCGTCACTTTAGTTCTGCTTGTGGTGATTCCGATTTTTCTCTTTGGAGTTATTTTTGTAGCTCTCTTCTCAGCAGAAATATGAAAGTGTGTGTGTGGGGGGGGCTGTTTTCAAATAAATTTTTTCCCTTCTCATAAATGTTTTGTTTTTATTTTCAAAAGAATGCCCAGAACTGACAAATGGTTTATTAATTTCTCCAGACTCACATAAATAAAATTGCTTGCTTAGTTTCATATTAACCCTTTCATCCATTTTTTTACACCATGCTTCAGCGCCATCTTGTGGTGCTGCATTCTGGTGCTCTCGCTTAATTTCTTTGATAGGTTGTGCTGTAAAACAGAACATTAGTGCACCAAGGATATTGATCTGTTGGGTGGGACTGGCATGCAAACAAGCGACATAATGCAAACGAGCTGCATAATCACTAGAGGACAGGAACTACAGGATACGAAATGCTCTGCTGTTTGAAATCTTGTCTGCTTCGCAAATCTTGTATTTTCTACAACCTCAGTGAAATCTCAGTGAATAAACAACTGAACTAGCACCCTTTGAACCCTGGCTTCTGCTCTTTCAGCTACTTCAGTCTGGGAGTTCTCTAGAGCAGTGTTTCTCAAGCTTTTTTTTTTTTTTTTTAATGAAGTACCCCTTTAAAAATATATAGGTACTCCTAGTACCTACAGAGACACGCACTTCTTTTTTTCTACCATTGCAACACATTTATTTAAACAACTTAATTGTAGCTGGCAGGGCAATGAAAGTTTTGGGTATAAAAAGTACAAAAATAATAAAGCACGGTAAAACTTAAAACAAAAATTCAATTTTCTCCAAATTTCAGTTGTGTTGAGGTACCCCCCCAGGCTTCTCTCAAGTATCCCTAAGGTTACTCGTACCACTGATTGAGAAACACTGCTCTAGAGCTCACTAAGAAAGGGCATGGGCTGTGGGCAATTGAGTTTTGGCCTTTCTGCTGTTCATCCTGGTAGCCGTGGGACCGCTCCAGAAAGGAAAGCCAGACATAGCACCACCTCGGTCTCCCTCTCAGATGGAACATCTAAGGCCTCGCCTTCATGCACGACAATCAGAGCCCCCAGCCTGGCTCGGTCCCTAGCAGGACCTAAGGCCACTGAGGGCATCAGGTGATGTTCCCTGGTACTTCCATGCAGATCAGGTGGCCATACCCTGCCTGTCTTAGCACTCCAAAGAAAGTATCTTCAGGCTCCTCAAGTTCCTCCACCTGAAGGTTCAGGTTTGTGGCTACCCTCTTGAAAAGATATTCATCCTCCAGCCTTCATCTCTGTGAGACAAATCACCAGGACCTCCTATGCAGTGTTCCTGCTAAGCTGCCTGGCTGGGGAAGGGGCACCTCTCGTTCAGCAGCAGCTCCTTGCTGGGGCCAGAGCAGTGAGTCTCTCCCAGCCAGCTGGAAAAACGAAACAAAGATAAACTGTCCTTATTGTGCCTGACACGGCAATGTTAAGTCAGAGGGGAAATTAGTATCTGACCCTCTCTAGCATCCTGACGTATATGGGTCAAGATTAGAGCTGGATAGAATATTTATTGTTTTGGGGTCTCAAAAAGGAACAAAATGCCAAATTTTTCATATTTATTGAAAAATAGGTTTTAAAACAAATGGGTTTGGGTCATTTGATTATTTAATTAATTAAGAATGCAACATTAAAGTAAACTTCAAAGCAAAGTCATTTAAAAATGAACAAGTGAAAAATTTTGATTTAAAAAAATGCTAAAATGGGACCTCACCCATTTTTTTCAAAGTGGATTTAAAAAAAAAATTTCAATTGATACAAACAAAAATGTAAGATTTGTTAAAACAGCTATTTTTCCAGGAGAGAACTGTTTCTGTGAAAATTTCTGGACCGGCTGTAACTCAGACCCCAGGTGATGGGGGTGTGCTTGCCCTGCACTTTCACTGTATGGGTTAACTCTGCTCTGTGGACCAAAGAGACTGTGTCCCCTATGATGGGGGTGTGCTTGCCCTGCACTGGCACTGTATGGATTAACTCTGCTCTGTGGACCAAAGAGACTGTGTCCCCTCTGCCCTGTATAAAAGGGAGCAGCTTAGCTCTTTTAGGTCTGCCTGCTCAGGAAGCAGGACACAGGAGGGAGGACACACGCTGAAAACGTTAGAAATACCCTGTGATACCCCCTTACACATCTGAAGTCCAGTCCGATGCTGTTCTCATTAATAAAGATAATCATTTAAAAAATCCCACCAAGTCATTTCTCAA